ACGTGTTTTAGCAGGGGGTTGGACTGGATGATCTCCAGAGGTCCTTTCCAACCCCATGGGATTCTGTGATTCTGCTCAGTGCTCCCATCACCCAGTGGCACTGCAGTTCACATTCAGTTTTTCACACGTGTGTGAATGTACAACACGTGACCTCTGGGTGCCCTTGGGCAATCCCCATTGTTTCCTTTGTCCTCTGTGGCTGAGCCAGCGTTGGTTTTGTTCACGAAGTGATGACCTTCAAATCTTCTTTGCCTGACTGGGCTAGAATAAGTGCACAAATGCTGTTCTCACAGAACTGATGGGGAAAGCCTGGAAGGGGTGGCTGAAACTCACGCTTACCTTGTTGGGTGATGTGATGTGATGTCGCAACTTTGGTCTTTTTGTCGTGCTGGAAGGGCTGTTTTGAAAGCTGACTGGTGCTGCTCACCCATTCAGCAGATGATCCCCGACTGTCGCGTTCAGGCTGGAAGTAGCTCACAAATTTTCCCAGAAAGGATGAGAACATGAGTGCTAAAAAGAAGAAAAACCATCAAACACAGTCAAGTTCAAAACAAACCACTGTCTTAAAATCTCTATCAGGTTATAATGGAAAAGAGTATCCAAATACTTCTGGTTTTTTTCAGAGTTAGCTTGGGTGTCTGTACAGCGTTGCTGTTGCAGGGGTTTCTCAATCTGTCTACTGCCCATGGGAATGCTTTGGGGTCATCCCTGTAAGGTCTGAGCTCAGGTCTTCATGGTTAATAGACCCTCAATGAACCAGGATTGCAGATGGGCAGGAGTCAGGGTGTGGAACCAGCTGGCAGTGGGAAGAAGCGATGCTGCATCCAGATCAGTAGGTCCACCTTGGACATACACAGTTCTTCCAAGTGACTATTACAGAAATAACCAAATAACACTTGGGCTGGGGCAGTGATGTTCCTGTGCTGTTGTGCATGTGTTCTTCAGCCCTGAGGAGGCTCCTCAGCCTCCTGCCTCTGCTTGTGGACTCTCAGGGTCCTGTGGAGGAAAGCTGTGGGTGCCTGCACCCTTGGTTTGAGTCTTTCAGTTCATATTAAGCCATCTGTATGTAATGAATGGGTGGCTTCTCTGCTTGTTTTGATAAGAGAAGAGTTTGGGGAAGACTTTCTCCGTTTGGCATCTAGCACCCATTCTTCTTGTTTTGCCCAGGATATAACATTTTCTTGCAAAATTAAATAATGACCAGAGAGAGAACAAGTCCCTCTCATAGCAGAGAGCTCTGAAATGATGGAATCATTTTCTCGTCTCCAAAAATAAGACAAAATAGTCAGGCTTAAAAAATACAAGTAAAACCCAGCAGACTGTTACTCAGTGAGCCTAATACGACCTCACCGACTACATGCTGTCCTCTTGAGGCATTTCAAAATGAAATTCTGTCACATATCCAGCCTGACTTCAGTCACTGGTTAAGCAAGCTACTTCTGCTTAGAAATTTCTGACAAGCCTGGGTGCTCTCTAGGACCTGTGAGAAACAACTTTATCCCTGTGTCTACAAAACAAGGGATTAAGTGGTGGCAAAAAAATAAACTTTTAGATCCCTCCTGTCCTCTTGGTATTCTGGGGTGAGAGCTGGCTGGCTGCTGTTTTGTTTTGCTTTTTTTTCCTGGCTCAGTTGCCTTTATTGGGAGGGGCCAGGAGGAGTTTGGATTCCAGCTTTCTGACCTGTTTGAATGCCTAGAGCTTTCCTCTGGGACAAATCACCAGTGTTCCTGCAAAAAATAGCCTTATGGTCAGGCAGACCTTGATGGATGAAAACTTGGAAACTAATGAGGTTATGAAATTTTTTAATGCTTCCCATTTTTCAGACAAATGAAATTTAAGAGGCGGTGGTTACAAAGGAGAAAACGTTGTCATTCATCTGTGCAGTCAGTTGTGTCTGGATCCAAACAACCACTGAAAAGCAGGCCAGCTAACTGTTCAAACTGCAAAGCGTCCCTTGTCCTGTGACACCATTTCAGCCCAAGCTCCAGGATGACCTTGAAAAGGAGTTTTTAAGTTTGGTGACTTTAGGGAGCTCAAACTCTTACTTAGCAAAGAATTCACCCACGTGTGAAGCCTAAAAATGAGATGTTCCCACCTAACTTAGTCAGCCCACCCAGGTGACCTTTTTATGGTCCATGTTGAGATGCTTGAGATATTTCTTCCCATGAAGTATAAAGTTGGGTTAAGCCTCTATATCAAACATCCCGACATCTCAACACAAGGAGAATGAATCTCACCTATTTGTAGCAATCAGGGAAGAGGCTCAAGATGTCTTGGAGGATGCCGCCAGCAGATAACCTGAGCTCAGCTCTTCCTGGAAACAGTGCAAAGACTCTAGTTATGTCTCCATTAGTAAATAAATTAGGTCTAGCCCCATAGCCAAGTGGTTATTGCACACCTTATACATAGCTAATTTCTCCTTACCTCCCAAAACGGCACGACTATGTGCAAACTACCTGTTTTAAATGGTCCCTGGGCCATGCCCGAGAATTGTCTGGGAGAGGCACTAGTTGACACACCAAAACTGTGCCAAAACCTCGACCACCAATTTAGCAATGTAAATCTTTGCAGCATAATGCCATATCCTCATTTGCCTACTGTTGTGAATGTAGCTTTTGAGCATGCACTACAACCAGGCTAAAGTTAAAGGTGCACAGACCATATTCAGTCCCTTGACTTTGCTGGTTTGGTTCACAAAGTTAAAAAAAACACCTCAGTTTTTTGTATTTTTATCACCATTAATAATATCAGCTGAATCTGCCCGTAGTACCTTCACCATCTGTCCTTTTTCAAAACACCTCAGTTTTTTGTATTTTGATCACCATTAATAATATCAGCTGAATCTGCCCGTAGTACCTTCACCATCTGTCCTTTTTCCAGGCAGTCTGACATGCTACTAGCTGGCTGTGTTTGCTTCCTCTGTTACATTTCTTTTGGGAGGTAAGGCTGGAAGGAGGAAGCTACTGGAGTTTGCTCACGTGGCTGTGCTGCCTTTTTTTCTTTTTTCTTTTTTTTTTTTTTTTTTTTTTTTTAAGTGCTGCCCCCTTCCACTTTAGGCAAGCTTTCCTTTTTTTTGCCGA